TGTTCTTCCTAACTTCTCTGCCTCCTTGGCATCCCCCAACACACTTTGGGTGGACCTTCCTTCAGTCACTTAAACCTACCGTGCTTCTCACCTTTAGTCTGCTCACCTGCCAGTCCCAGTGCTGGCATTGCTTTTAACCTCTTTCCTCCACCTCCCATCTGTCTTTCCTCGAGGTGTGTTTAAACACCATTTCTTCCTAGGAATATCTCACCCTCAAACACACACGTAGATTGCGTGCTCCCACTTTACCCTGTGTTTGCTCTGCTGAAGCACATGAGATTGCTGTTTCCTATGTAACTGTCACTACAGTATCAGTATAAGTGCCTCAAGACAAAAAGCCACATTTGTGGTGCTCATCATGAATATTAACTAGCTGTCGCTTCAGTGGCACAAAATACCCAATACCTGCAACTTAACGGAGGAGTGATTGAATTTGGCTCGTGGTTTTGTTTTTGTTTTTGTTTTTTCTTCCAGTATCAGGAATCGAACTCATTGCGCACTTGCCAGGCAGGTGCTGTGCCACTGAGCTAAATTCATGGTTTTAGACAGTGCAGTCCATGGTAAACTGGGTCCAAGGCAGAAACCTCGTGGCTGACAGGCATGATGGAGAAAAACTATATGGCTCACAGTGGCTGGGAAGCAGAGCAGGGGAACAGCACCAGCGTGGAAGGAGCCAAAGGCCAGATGTAGTACCCAAGGTTATGCCCTGTGATCTACCAGACACACTCAGAAACATCCTTTACTAATCCGCTGGGCTGCTCTCAGGCCAATCAACTTGATAATATAGTTTAACTGTCAAGCCGTGTTATATCCCACATCTGCCCTTTTTTTCCCTCAGGTAAATGTGTCCTAGATATTTTCATTTTGAGGAGTACAGTAGAGGCTTTGGGCTTTTTTTACAATGGGGTAAACTAAGGAAGATTAAACATGGGAGGCTACTTGAACCTGATAGTGACTTGTCTAAGACTCAGCTATGTCAGGCCCTCAGCAGACCTGGGAAGCAAGGAGAACTGTGTCTCATATTATGCCAGCATGTGTTCACATGCCACTTGGGAAACTGCATCAAATTAACAAACCAGATCCTATACCTAATTATTTACCCTTACCGAGTCTCAGCTTCTCACCCACCAGGTGGAGGTAATACCACCTCAATAGGCGGCTTTACTGTTGGCTATGAGGGTATTGTAGGGACTGGTGATTGTGATTCCTGTCTGTGCGGTTGGGGGACTTCCATTTGGTTGTGCTTTGTCTGTAAGCATGCCCAGCGGTAATACAGGGTGTGAAGGTGAGCGCCCTGCTCATCAGGTGGGTGTGAAGCAGGAGGAAGTGGAGTGCAGGCCGGTAGTGCAGGTCAGAAGTCCCTGAAGAATGGCACGCCGTCTGGCTTAGCAGTGTCGTGTGTAGAAATTCATAGTAATTGGAAGTGTGAATAAAGTTTGGTCTATGAGAATTTCATCCGAACATTATTTCTGTTTGTAAAAAGAAAAAATACTAACTATCAAGAAGGTATGCTGATGGAATTAATTATGGGATAGGCACAGAGTAGGCCACTCTGTAGCTATTGATGATGATGATGATAATGTTCAAAAAAATAATGGCATGGGAAAATAGCAGGACACACTGAAATAAACGGGGTAACAAAACCACAGTTTAGTATGTTCTCAGTCATTTTTTAAGTAGATGTAGCATCGTGAGAAGGCTAGAAAGGTGTAAACCAGTATGTTTCTCTAAATAACTAATGTGGTATTTCTTTGTGGCATTTGTAATGACAAATTTTGAGTTGAATATGTATCTATAAGGTTTTTATGAAATGTGAAATATCACAGGAAAATGAACCTCACACAGTTTGCAATTGGAGTGCCTTTGCCCTTAACATGAAAATGCTCTAATGTCTGGCACTTCAGGGCTGTCTCTTCTGGGTGTTGAGAATGACTATGGCATCTTGGGGAAATACCTTCCTTTTTGTTTACGTGGCTTGTCAACCTATTCACATTTCATTCGTGCTCTTGAGCATATTGATTTATATACAAAGATTGAGCCTTACGATTTTCTGTGATTTCTACACAGGTCAGAAACTACACTTCCACATAAAATTGCCTATGTCAATAAATTAACTTCATGTGTGCTTTTCTAAGAAGGGCTTTTTGTAACACTAATACCTTTGAATCCAACTGGCTTCCACAGACCCTGGAGAAGGGAACAGCCTTTCTTTCTCTCTCTCTCTCTCTCTCTCTCTCTCTCTCTCTCTCTCTCTCTCTCTCTCACACACACACACACACACACACACACACACAAGGGCCAATTCAGGAAAAATAAAATGTCTATGAGGCACATTTTTCTCCCACCAAAATAAAGCCAGCTTTTTAGAGTTCAATAGGGGGAAAAATCAGTTCTTAAAAGCTTTAAACAACCTTACTGAAACAGCAACAGGTATAATATTTGCACTGCCTTTTAGCATTTATCTGAATTCTCCTTTCTGGGTATATCTGAGATAACAAGAAGTGTCTCCCGTAGCTTTCATCTAGAAAGTCATGTGGTGTGTTGGGAAACCAGGCATTCCCAGGTCACATGGTGCCTAGCACTAGTGCAGAAAAATCTGTATCAGGAGTAGAGTTGAAGAGCAAAGAGGAAGTTGCAGGATGGAAGAAACAGAAAATAGGTGACTCTCACTCCATCTGACTATTAGTTAGGCTTTGAAGAATATTGAGGCTAGAGAGGTCTTACCTTAAGATAATACAAACAGATCTGTTTATCTGATACAAGAGGTCAGTAGGCAATAGAGATAAAGCATAAACAGATTAGGGAGCAGATTAAGTAAGAGCAAAAATGGGAGTTTATCTTTAAAAAACAAAGAAGACAGTCTTCTTAAATGGGAGAAAGGTATGGAATAAATATAAATCTGAGGGCATTTGTCACCGTTGTCACTTATGTAAGAGGGAAGGGTGTCTATCATGAGTATGGAAAGCTCGAACCTTGGAAAGACAGGAGACAAGTTGAAAGTCACTCTGGAGAACCATGATGAAAAAGCCATCCTCATGACATGGAGGGCTTTCCCCTTCAGGAGCAGAGACAGTAGGCTATTGGGCCGACTCTGAAAAGGAATCATCTGGGTGGGGATGAAAAAAACGGCAGGCAGAATAAAAGATTGAGGGTGCCAGAGTGAGTATTATAGAAAGAACTGAGAAGAGGTGGGCCAGGACCCGGTGAGTGGAAATTCACCCCTGGGTTAAAACATGTGCTCCGAAGTCTCTCAGTTGTAGTTCATGGTTCGTCTCTCACAAGCACCTTGATAGCAACATATTTCCATCAAAACTCCCACACCATTGGGTTCTAACTTCCAGGTAGGGTGGCCACAGGCTTAGGAGGAGAGTAAGTGTCGGCTGGCATGAGAGGGGGAGCTGGAATTCTCCACTGTGTCTCTTCCTGCTCTTGTATTCTACTGCTCTGGCTTCCCTTGGTGTCTTCAGTACGGGGCTGTGCTTGTCCCCAGCCCTTTCTCTGGATGAGTTCTAACTTCTCATCATTCTACAAATCAGTCTTTTCCTTGAGGGACAAGGGTGTTATGTGCTGTGTGCACATGGGATAGAGATGCGTCCCCCGTGGAGAACTGGCCATTACTGAAACCAGAGCACCCTGGAAGCACACCTGGGACTTGAGCTTCCTATGGAGCCCTTGTAGAGCCTGAATGGAGTGCGTCACTGAACACTACACAAACATACTTTATTCAGAGGTAGAATTATGGTTTCTGCAGGAAGAAAGCAAGCTTGAAGTTTCTTAAGGAATAAATAAACATGCATATAAGCAGAAACTATAGTAGATAGAATTTATCTAGACTCAAACCTTAAGACTGCATACAGTCTCTTTAAAAGTGACCTCTGTAAGATACAGGTTTGTAGTCATCACTGTCGTTGTAGAACTTCGCTTGATGCTTTCCTTGTACATGCATAACATTGTGCAGCCGCCTCCTAAAAATCCCTTCTGCGAACCAGTGTGGCCCCCGTGCCACACAGTAGCCACCCAGTGTTCACACTTCTGGTGCAACAGGCCCATTCCACACCTGGAATCCGTTACAGGCACTGCCGTGATGACACGCGCTGAGGCAGACCATTGCTACTCACTGTCATCAATTAGGTGATGCTTATCTGTCCATCAGCAGATGACCGGATAAAGAAAATGTGGTATCTACGCACAGTAGAGTTGGTGGGAATGTAAGCTAGTACGATCACTGTAGAAATAGTATAGAGGTTTTTCTTAAAAGAGTAAAACTAGAAATTCCATTTACGCAGCTATTCCACTTTTAGAGATCTTCCCAAAAGAGTTAAAGATATCATACTATAGTAGTACATGCATACCCATGTGCATGGCAGCATAATTTATAATAGCTAAATCTTGGAAGCAGCCTGTGTGTCCATCAGATGGGTGGTAAAGAAAACATGGTGTTTATACACCATGGAGTAAGTACTACTCTGCCATAAAAAAGCTAAACTTGAATCATTTGTAGGAAAGTGGATGTACCTTGAGACCATAAGCTTAAATACTGCATGGTTTCTCTTATATGAGAAACTCAAACTATAAATAAAGAACAAAATAAAAGATAGATACCAGGAAAACAGGACATAGATCTTATGCAAAAGGGAACAGGACCAAGAGATGGAAGGAGGTGGGAGGGAAGGGAAGGGAAAGGTTCATGTTGAAAAAAAGTGTGTTATGTACACTCCCCACAAAGAATGTGATCATTATGTACTGCAAACCTATACTAATAAAGGAATAGGGTGTAAATAAATGGGAAGACGTTTCCAGAGCTGATACTGTTTTGTCCAGGTCGTTCAGTATTGTTCTAAGTGAGCTGTTCGCAGCTGTCCCTATTTAGCACTAACTGCACAAGAGGACATTATGCACAGTAGCATTGCCTTAGTCCTCGCTTCAGTGCTGTAGGGAAAAGGTCGTGTGTAGTGGAGTTCAGTGGAAGTGATTACTTGGTGTTCTCTGCTGTCTTCCAGCCCGCTGCTGGCCGTATCCTTTGCTGCTTGCTGTGCAGTGCCAGGAGTTGCTCTTCTGACTTGGGGCGTGAACCCACTCACGGGAGCCCTGGGAATCTTCAACATTTTCCTGTACACTTGCTGCTACACACCACTGAAGAGGATGAGCATTGCCAACACATGGGTCGGAGCCGTGGTGGGGGCCGTCCCACCTGTCATGGGCTGGACAGCAGCCACCGGCAGCCTCGATGCAGGTCAGTGCCCCCCAGTGCCAAGTGTCGGCCTCTCTCAGCAGTCCTGCGGTCTTGGTGCAGAGGCAAGAGCTTGTGGCTCTGAGCAGGTATGAGCATGCAGCAGTCAGAGGTGTCCCGCTCCAAGTACTAGTTAGACTCCTCTTTGTTCAGTACTGATTCTTGGCAGCTGTGTTGCTGTGGCAGCAACAGAGAGCTAAGGGAGCGCTGCCATTCTGGTTTCCTGGGCGTGATGTGCACTGTCCCTTCTAGGGCAGATCCAGGGGCAAAGCGGGGCTGTCTCAGCCTGTAACCACAGGTAACGTAAAAAGGAAGCCCCTGAAAATCACAAATCAAGTGAGGGCTGGCTGATTCATTTTGGATACCCCAGCCTAGGAGAAGGGACGTGGAGTGGGCCTCTATTGCCTGTCAGAGGGGTGCAGTCTCATTGGCAAGCCTCCCTCCTTCCTGTAGAGCAGGGTTATTTCCCTCTCTTATGAAAGAGCAGATTATTTTCATTAGTTTCTAATTTATTTTCATATGATTTGCTTAAATTGTTCATGCTGTCTACAATAAAGCCATTGAAACATTTCTACATTTTTTTGGTGGTGTGTCACAACAAAATTTGTGGGGTGAAAATAGCTCATTTTTACCATCTGTAAGGGAAGTTTCGCAGTCTAATTAGTCAAGTAATTAGTGTTTTTGACCAACACTTAGGAAGGAAGTGGTGAGGTTTCCTGCAATGTATGTAAGTACATATTTTTCACATGAGAGATGAAAGGCAGTTGACCATAAACCGTTACCCTGTAAGCCACATTTCTGAATCTTTTCATAAAAGCTCATACACTTTGATTTGGCTAGCTTACAAATGGCGATTACACTTTTACCATGATCGTCTCTCCGAACTGTTTTAATATCCTGTAAATGGTGGATTTTAATGAATCTACAAATGTAATATTCTATAACTTTTGTGTTCTTTTCTCTATAATAAACCTTAAAGTAGAGTGTCATTGATGTGGGAGGCAGAGCAGCAAAGTGCTTATGAGTGGGGCTCAGCAACCCAGCTAGGCCACCGGGGCTAGAACCCAGTCTCCTCCTGGCTGAGTGACCTTTGGAACTGAACTTGGCCTCTTATCTCCTACATGGGGCTGATGATGGTCTCTCTGCACGGAGCTGTTGTGAAGATTACATAGATTATTGTCTTAGACTGTCCTGTGTTGCTATAGCAGAAGAATAGAGATTAAGTAATTTATAAAGGAGAGAGATTTATTTCTTATAGTTCTTGAGGCTTGAAAATCCAAGGTTAAGGAACCACCATGCTCTCATTCCATGGCAGAAGATAGGGAGCAAAGGGGCAAGAGGTAAAGAGGGAAGGAGAGAGAGAGAGAATGAGAATGAGAATGAGAGAATGCCCACACATGAGGTTAAATTTGTAGCAGGTTGCGTTAGCACATGCCTGTAGCACTCAGAAGGCTAAGGCAGGAGGATTGCTGCAAGTTCAAGGCCAGCCTAGGCTATATAGTGCGTTCAAGGCTAGCCTAGGCTATAAAGTGAGTTCAAGGCCAGCCTAAACTGCAGTTGAAACCCTGTCCTAAAAAACCAAATAGGGAGAGTGAGAGAGAACAATTAAGCTTGCAAGCCCTCAAACGCTTTTATAATCCTCATTAATTTATTCATGAAGTAGACCCTTCCGGACCTGAACACCTCCCATCAGGTCCCACCTCCCTACTCTGGTCCACTGGGGACTGTTTCCAATGCATGCTTTTAGGGGACACATTCAACCCATAGCGTTCGTTGTATGTAAAGTGCTATGTGTGCCCTGGGAAGAGTTCAGTTCCTGATAGATAATGCTGTTATGTTCAGGAATCCTTCATGCAGTGAGTGAGTTAACACAGAGGACAGGTCATTAGATCTTATTTGATTTACAAACTTCAGTTACAAATTATACTTCATCATTGTTCCCTAGCTGTTGTTTTAAAGACAGTGCGGTGCCTACAGGTTGCGGGGTAGGTGGGGTAGGTTGGCATCCTAGGAGTACATGTCACCTGAGTTCTAACTCGGTGTACCACCTGCACTCAGAGAGATACCCACAGGCCATTCTTCCTCCTCCATTCCACTGAAGCTGCAGCCCTGCCCCGACCCCGCCAGGCCCCCAGACATTCAGGGCCATGGCCATGGAAGAAAGTGAGTGGCTCCTAGGCTCCCCATGCTCTGGGGTCCTGCCATCCTCAGCATGGGGCTGCACTTTGGCACATGGGCCCCTCCGGGAAAATGCTCTGTCCCTGCCAGGAGTGCCTGGGCCTGCTCAGTCTCTTCAGTCCTGACACAAAGGAACGAGGCACCCAAAACTGCCTTTCTGTGTGGGGACTCCCAGGTGGGACAGGCTCAGGTCAGCCTCCAAGCACCGCAGGTGCAGGGGGAAGTATCCCTGGCCACAGGTGAAGACAGTCCAGTCCAGGTCAGTGTAGAACTTGATCACCACTGGTGTTCAGGGTCCTGGTGAACAGTTCCTCCCTGAGGTCTCGGAGCCCTTGTTAACCCCCAGCACCTCCTCATGAAGAGTTTGAGCCACAGCGTATAGAGGCTAATATTTTATCCCTGGAATTCAGATGGGCAGTTTTGCAAAAGTCCTCATTTAGGACTGTGCAGGCAGGTAGGAGCCACTTTTTATTGAAGGACAGTGTATGTGTGGGTAAGCTGCTAATAGTCACAGTTAAAATGAATTTCTAAAAACGTTACAGTCTTTTCATCATTCAAATTTAATCATTTGTATATATTGATGATGGGCAGCTAAGGGCTAAGCCATACCCTGATTGGACAGCAGATTGAAAATAAATAGCTATTTACTTAGCTATCTCAAAAAGTGAGACCCATTATCTATCTGAACAGAACCTAGTATAAAACAATATTCTAGAAGATTTGTGTAACCACTGAGGGAAGTTCATTCCCTTGACAATTTTTGACATTGACTTCTCATATCCCTTTTCCATAAATCTTTAAGGTGCGTTTCAGAACCCCCAGTACCAGTATGGTTCACTGGCCCAAAATTATCATTATCACTAGTCAAACTAGATCACATCATTTGGCCTAAAGCCTTGTGATGTTTGTGCAAAAAGAACGATACTGCTTTACATAATGCATTAAACTGCTTCTAAGAGGTTTCAAAACATTACTTTGATAGAGCAAACAAGATAAGCAGTAAATGAGTGAATTGAATGAACAGTGAGCAGGTATCTTCTGTTTTATAGATGATACAACTGAAGAGAATGTATTTTGAGATTTTTATTGCTGGATTTTAGAAACTAAGTTGAACATGGTTGAATAACTTAGAGCTGCACTGTCCAGAATAGTAGCTCATAGCTACAGGTGACTATTTAAATTTAAACCAGTCAGCGTTTAGTTCTACTACCATTTTGCAAATGCCAGAGCCATGTAGGGCTAGTAGCCCCCATTTGCACAGCATAGAGTAGGACATTTCCATCACTGCAGAAAGTTATGTGGGACAGTACCTCCTAGAAGCAAATGTTCTCATCCTCCTGAGTCTGTGTTCCCTCTGCGTTGTGTGGACCTGCGATTTCAATAATGGGACATTGATGAGATGATGCTCTCGCTCAGTCAGGACCCCTGGTTGACAGACTGTAGTGCACATCTCCATGAGCTGGAGTGTTGTAGAAGCACACATTCCTGGCCCCCACCCTCCGGGTTCTGATATAGTAGGTCTTGTGTGGGGTTCTGACAATTTTCATTTCTAACAAATTCCCAGTGATGCTGATGCCCCTGGTCCAGGACCACACTGTATAAATCACCAGTCTGCGAAGATAATGAGAAAGAACATCAGCTGTTAGAACACCATGGAAATACCTAGAAATTGGGGCAAAGGGAGGGCATGGACAGATGGTATTATTCAAAGTGTACCGGCAGTATCATGTGTATTCGCCACAGAGTTTACATTTCTCATCTCAGTTCTTACGGAACATGTCTGGCTGGAAAGAGCCCTTTAGAGAAAAAAATAATCAAAAATGTTTTCTGCTTCTGTAGTATCTGCAGTCCATGTAATCTATGAACCTGCAGAGAACAATCACCTTGAAAAAGCCTATGAATAGGAAAGTCTTTGGAACACAGTGTTGAACTCCACTGACCATAAGGAAGAGACAGAGTTGGAAGCTGAGGTGGGTACCAACGCCAGGGAGCAAGAGACTGTCCACTCAGCACAGCCTGCACTGAGAGCTGCAGGTTTACTGTCTTAGTGGAAGCTTCATTGTACAGGTCTCACCTGAGGACCTAGTGTGAGCTGGTTGCTGACACATATAGAAGTGATGAGAACCCACCCATCCTTCCTGAAATCCCTAGGACAGTTGGGCAGACAGTGAGGTAGCTGGGGCTCTGATGACTTAGGTGGGTGTGCTCTTTTCAGCTACCCAAATTGGCCCAGGAAGATGTCGGGAGGAGTGACTTCTGAGTAAGTCTTCACCATTTCCCTGTGGGATGCTCAAGAGAGAATCGTGTATCCAAGACTTTCAGGCTTGAGAGCCAGACCAGCGAGTGGGGCAGGGATGAGATGCAGGATGAGCTTTTTGCTAAGGAATTTATAATGTATTGAAACATGGTAAAGATCCATTGGCACTTGAAGCAGAAAAGCACCAAGTCTCACACAATAAGTCTCTCAATAAATAGGGTTATTCAACTAAGCATGTGCAGCAGGTTTGTGCTGGAAGTCAGTAAGGTTCAAAACCTTTGATTGTCTTCACGGCCCCTGTGCCTTCTCACACCTCCCACCCATTCTCCGCACTTCCTCTCCCCACCTACCGTAGACTTCCTCCACCCCCACCTCTGTGTCCTCCCTACCCAGATTTTTACCTTTTAACGTTTTAGTGTAGTATCAGTCTGATCATCTTTTGAAAGAACAGCTTGTTAACACTAGCAAATCTCCCAAGTTGGGGAATAGATGAAAGCTTTATGTTTGAAGGGAGACAGGTTGAACTACACACGCCCCATTCCTTTTCCCCACCCAGGAACCTTTTCCC